GTGTTGCTTATTCATTTCATGGCGTGGGAGCTGCAGGGGCTAGCCGAGAGCTGAACTATGCATTTCAAACAGCGCCGCTTGTGCAGAAAGAGGGGCGAGAGAGCAGCAGCCGGCCAGGAACGAGCACAGCTGGACTTTCTCCTTGTTTTTATCCATTTCTGCAGGATCATGTATTTATAAGGGATGAGGTGGGCCACAGGGATCGCAGGCCTGAGGTGCGGCCTACCCAGTCAGTGCAGAATCAGGCCCTCCACTACCGGAACCGCGAGCGCTTTGCCACGATCAAATCGGCGTCTTTGGTAAGCAGCCGTCCTCCCCCCGGCCCCCATCGTGTCCGTGTGTCTGTCTGTCCGGGAAAGGGTCATGGATGTCTCCTTTTCGCCCCCCCGCCCTTAATTTTCTCGTTGGCATAGCAACTGGATATTGCACCGAGAGATGCTTTAGCTGCATGAAGTGTAAAATGCTGAATGCATTTGATATTCATGGGTTCCTATTGGGGGGTATTTCCAGGATATGTCAAATAACCCAAATTTAAGGGTGAGGGCAATATCCTCTCCCAATTCTGATTTTTTTTTTTCTTTTTTTCATCTCCCCTCCCCTTTCCCCCTCCGCTTTTGCTAGGGCCCCTAATGTCCCCAGGCGTCTTTATCCGCATGTGCCTAAAACGTCTCCGTGTGCATGTGTGGAATCCGTTCCCGTGCTACGGAAATGCAGATGCTCTTGGAAACAATAAGGCTGCCGGCCGGAGCGCCGGCTCCTCGCCATCCCTCCATTCATCCTTTCATTCATTCATGCGGTGCTGGGGGCCGCTGCGGCCCTGGACAGGGGATCTGGGGGTGCAAAAAGCCCCGGGGGGGAAGGGAGGCCCCCCGCCGCGTTCCTACTACTGCAAATGTGCTCATGGAGATGCCTTTGTAGTAGCGAGAGGGGTGTGTGCCGGGAGCGCGGGTGGCCGCGCCGCCTCCCCCCTGCACACGGAGCCTCCTCCCAGCCCCAAACACACGGGACGATCCCCCCAAACGGGGGGGACCGTCCGGGCCCCGCGGTGCAGGGGGTCACGTGGGCGGGCGTTGAGCCGGAGTAGCCGCTGCTCCTCGGTGGCTGTAATGACATCATCGGGCCCCGGCGACATGAGCGCGGCGCGGCCGCCACCCCCCGGCTACCGGGGCCCCTTCGCGGCCTCCGAGGTGGCCGCTGCCACCATGGAAATGGGCAGAGCGCCCGCGCTGCCTTGGCTTGCAGGTGAGCTCCTGCACGGCCCTGGTGCTGTCACTTGCCGGGCCCCGAGTGTCCCCTGGGTCGCTTCCTCCCCCGATCTAAAGCGTGACCTAGAAACATGTGCAGGAGGGGACTCCGTGCAGTGCTCCTGGCTCAGGGGGACCCTCTGCCCCACCACGTTTCCTCCTTTGCGTGTGCACACGAGTGTGTGCCCATGCGGTGCCAGGGAGGAAAAGCAGGGTGATTAACTGGAGGCAAAAATGACAACCGACTCGAGCACCATGCTCTAAACGTGCATGTATTTCATTGATATGTGTCCATGAGAGTATTTGTTGTATTTTTCTACTCCCTGAGGAAAGGTATTGCATCTTCTGCCCTGCCTTCGGCAGCAGAGTCCAAAATTCTCCCCTCTCAGAATGCCGTCCCTGGGCTCTCTGAGTGGCTCCAGGCTCTCTCGTGGTGAAGCCCCTGGAGAACTGTTAAAAAACATGGGTGTGAGGATATGGATGGTGAGGTCTTCCCGGACCTCTGAGCCCTGGAGAGGATACCTGCTGTGCCAAGGTCACTCCTAAATCCCACAGCAGCATCCTGCAGGCTGGGGTTGTGCCTGCCTTGCTGCTTTGGTCACTTGGATTTGCTAAAGCTCCTCTTTAGTGACCAAATGACTATAATGAAGTGAATACTAGGTAAGAAAGAAACGAGGCTTTCTGGAGAACTTCCCTCCTTCAGCTTTTCTGTGGGAAGTGCTCTGCGATGAAGCACATCTGGGCTCATGCCAGGAAGGCTGAAGTTCACGCTAGTGCAGCAGTACGTGCACAGCCCTGTACCTTTGGGGAAGGTGAGAATTCCCACATGGTAACTCCCTGTTTTAGCCAGCAGGCCTTTCCTTGAAGGAGCACACGGTTGTATGTGCCCCATAAAAGCTTTCTTGCCCTTACCATACAGGGAGAACTTCCCTCACAGGAAGAACCTCCCCACCTTGGCATTATAGGAGATATTACTCTGTGCTTGGGTTTTGAGACAAGAGGGTTCATTTCACAGTTTATAACAGAAGTATTTTTTTTCATGTCTGTTAATTGCATGACAGGCTTTTCCCCTTAGTAATTGTTCATTCACTTCTGCATGTGCCAAAATGGAAATGTAGAAATCAACTTAAACTGTTATATAATAACTTAAACTGTTCCATACAGCAGTGTTTTCCATGCAGTATTTGATTGTCTCTCCGCGCCCAGGGGTTGTCACGGGGTGGTAGTAGTGGCTGCTGCTCCTGCTTTGGCCACAGCAAAACCTCCATCGTGCCTGTCCCCTTCTCTCCTGCTGCGTTATCCCTGGGGAAGGAAAGGTTCTGCAGCCGGCACAGGGGGATATGACCTAGGCATGGCTGACATTTGTAGCGTAGAACTAGCAGTTCAGGTTCTGGGGGTCTTTCTCCATCTCTCCGCGTTAATTTACACTCTGTCTTTCAAGCAGCATCTCCAGAGTCACAAGGTTCCCTGATATCAAGCACGTCCTGTCCTTTTTGCTGGCCATAGTTTCTCAGCACTTGGGTGCTGCTTTCCAGGCACAGAAGGGTCATGCAGTGGAGAGGGGCATGTGGCTGTATTGCAGAGAACCCAGACCACCAGAAAATGGGAGTTTTGACACCAAATCAGTAACTGGAAGGACATTTGGGTATAAACTCTGCGGCGAGATGTGCGGAGCCCCTCTGAAGTGAAGGAAGGGCATCATGGAGGGAGAGCGCTGAGCTCGGGGCCATCACAGGGCTTTGTGGCACCTTCTGCAGGCTCCGCTTGGGACCAGGTCTCATCCTGAGCCCTCGAGTCCTCATTGTTCAGCCTTAGATCAGGATGTTGCAGCCTGATGAAGGACAGGTATCCCAAAAGGAGGCTCTCCAAGTTGAAGACCAGTCCCGTTCCAAAAATAAACTCAAGTAATTTCAGTTTCGGTAAATTTCTCTTTGGACATTGCATGGTCTACCCCCATACTTTTTCTTTTAATAGCACTTTTGGCAAAAATAACCATCACTTACAGTAGTGCTACTGCAACAATATTTGTTGCACTGAAATTCAGTGCCTGCAAAGAAGATCAAATGCCTGCTGAATTTCCATATTATTTTGCAGATTAGCAGTGGTCCATAAATTGAAAGTTAAAACTAGAGACTTAAGCCCTGAAGCTGACAAAGCTGCATTTTGAAAGAAAGCTAGAGATTCTGCACCCAAAGACGACTATACCTATAAATATTTTTCCTATGAAAGGTCTTTGTTTTTTATTTTTTTAACAAGTACATATGTGCATGAGTGTTTCTGACTCTATTTTCGCCCTGAGCCCTTAAGACTCCACAGCTTCATTCACTTTTTTGATGGCTGCTTCTACAGTTTTCAAGTGAAATGATCTGATATTTAAAACTTGAGAGACAGCAGATAGTGTGGATTCCATCAATGGCCTTGGCTTTCTGTTTCGAGTCCAGATGCCAGCAAGAGAGTGTGATCTCACCCCAGGTCTGTGAAAACCAACTGTCTGAGTACGTGCGAGCGACCTGCTGTGGATGTGGTCATTAAAATAACATCAGACCAGCCTGGCTTCAAAACGTGGCACATTTGCATGTTCCTCTGCACCTTCTTCTGCTGAATCAATGACATTTTGTTCCCCATGGTGGATTTTATCTTAAGGGACTTACCTGGCTGCTGCCTATGTAGATTTTCACTCTAAAAATACTGAATTTCTTCTTTCTTGTCTCAAAATTCTTTTGTTGTTGTGAGAGGCAGCCAATGTCTTGCCCAATATCTGCCTCTGTCTTTCATTTGGACATTGAGAGGGGAGAATAACTGTCCTTTAGGAGAGGCTTTGGTATCTTGGTTAGGCAGTGTAGAAGGAGGAAGTGTGAAGAACTGCCAGTACTAAAGGAGGAATTGGAAGGCCAACTTCCTTATGTAAAGCTAAAATCTTGAAGGGGGGGGAAAGAAAAAAAGAGTAAGCCTGGATTCTAGATGACAAGGGACCTGCCTGCGAGAGTAGGTTGGGAAAGGCATCTGTCTGTCTCGGTTCTGTGTACGCCAAAGATGCAGGGAGATAAGAAACTGAGAAAATGTCATACCTTAATGAAAGCTGTTCTGTTTTATACAGGCTTTCAGTTCTGCTGATGACCTGATTGATTATTATGTGCTTCAAATAGTTTCAAGAAACCGCAGTATTTCTGTTTTAAAGGATCCTGACATTTTTCTGGACAATGTTCTGCAGTGAGCACTTCAACTGTCATTTTTTCCCTCATAATTTATGGGATTATGTTTGTGAAGAAGTTGGGAAAGTTCAAAGTGCTTTTGTCTAAGAACAGCAGAAAGGGGGGACTGCAACTTTCTCAAATTTTCTTCTTACAGTTGTCACTAAAGCTCTTCAGTCATTCTGGGCTTCCTCCTCAAAATCATCATCATTTTCATTTAAATGTATTGCCACGAGTGCTCTGAAGTGCTGCTCTGGTATCTCAGTAGGATCTGGTCACACTCAGTAACTATTTGAAGTTCCATTTCCTCTAGGCCTTGGCCAAAATCACCGTTTTGGAGAGTTTCCTCAAAACCAGCGGCCCAAAGCGTGGTGGTCCTTAGTACCAGCATGCTGAGTGCAGACATTTAGATCCACCAAAGGTCCCTGGAGCCTCCTGTCCTGCTCTTTCATCTTCAGGAATGAAATGTTCCTTTTTTTTTTCCTTCTGACTTCCATGGTGTCCTTATCTTGCAAACCGCAGGAAAGCGGCAGCTACTTCGGGCAAGAAGAATTTTGGGGTTCTGAAGCTTTGCTGATCTTCCCCAAATGGCTGTTTGCTTCCTATGTGTGAAGTGTGAAAGCAGAAGTCGTCCTCCCTTTGGAACTGTGGTCTCCAGCTCTGCATCCACATGTGCAAAGGGCTGCAGCTTTTTGGCTCCCAGGACTATCTTAAAAGTGATGAGCAGACCTTTATATGTGAAGTTCCTGGGACTATATTCTTAAAAAAGATGATTTCAGATTTGGACACTTTCTTAATCTTTCGAATTGGAAGCATTTCCATTTGCATTTTCCTCCTAAAATTCTTGGCACGCCCGCACGTTTTTCCTCCTTTCCCATGCATGCACTCGGAGCGTGGAAATCCGTGTGGAACCTGTGAGTTTTTCAGCTGAGCGGGGTTTATAATCTGCTTCAGCCATATGATCACCCTGGTTAAGGGTGCTCCGTTCCAGAGTACTGTTCCCTTCCTAGAAACTCTCTTCCCGTAGGCGAGAGCGCTCCTTACGCAGCACAAAGTTCCTCGCCTCTCTTTTGCTAGCGTTTTTATAGCATTTTGAGCTTTTGCTCCTGTGTGTGTGTCTGCACGGTCCTGGGAACCTGTTGGTTGCAAGATCTGCTTGTGTGTCTGCAGGTTGTGTCCAGCATAAGCAGGAA